ACATTTCTCAAATGCGGAAATACAAATGGCAAGTAAATATATGGAAAAATGTTCAACATCATTGGTCATTCAAGAAATGCAAATTAAGATGACACTGAGATACCATCTTACACTAGAAAGAGTTACTATCATCAAGAAGTCAGCCAGCAACAAATGTGGAAGGGCTATGGGGAAAAAGGAACCCTCTCCACTGTTGGTGGGAGTGTAGACTGTACAACCACTATGGAAATCAGTGTGGAGACTTCTCAAAAAGCTAGGATTGGAGGTCTCATTCAACTGAGCTCTTCCCTTCCTGGTTATTTTTCCAGAAGATGTGAAAACAACATACCACAGCAATATATGTGCACCCATGTTTACAGCAGTGCAATTTGTCATAGCTAAATCTTGGAAACAATCCAAATGTCCATCAGCTGAAGAACGGATAAAGAAAATGTATTTTTACACAATGGAGTATTATTCAGCTGTAAAACAGGATAAATTTGAGGCTTTTAAGTGGTAAAGGGATGGAACTAGAGGACATATTTTTAAGAGTGAAATAAATCAGATATGCATATGCAAATATTGTATTCTCTCCTTACTGTGAGAACCTGAAAGAGAAAATAAAATCTGAAGGGTACAATAGATACTGGGAAAGAGAATGAATCTGTTCAAAAGGAAGGACTTAATTGAGAAGGACAGGAGAGGGAGTGTGGGAATGATATGTATCTATGTATGTAAGCAAGATGGTTTGAACAACTGTACTGTGGTTTTCTGTTGGTCTATGGAAAGGTGCAGTTAATGCTATTTTTTTTGTCTTTTTAAAATTGTTTTTCTTTTTTATATTTCATGTATTTCTTTTTTCTTCAATTTTGCATGTCTGGTAATATGAACAACTAATTTTTGAAAACACTGTATTACAACAAATACTGTGAAATTCATATTTTGTTTAGTGTAATTGTATATCATTTGTAATTTTTTATTTTAATAATGTTTTGTACTCTAATAATTAAAAAAATACAAAGCCAAAAAAAGACTATTTTAACCCATCAAATCAGAGATACTTCATGATAGATTAGGTCTGTATGTTTGTCAATTTTAATTTTCCTCAGTACAAAAGATTAAAACCTAGAGGATGCTATGAAATAAATCATCTGAACTATGCTTAATTTACATTGTTAGTAATCTTAAGAATATTTCTTGCTGGACATGATAGTGCACACCATCATGCAGTAATCCCAGCACTCAGTAGCTGCGGCAGGAGAATCATTAAGTTTTAAGACCATCCTGGGCTACAAAGTGAGCTCAAGGACAGCCCAAACTGCATAGCAAGACACTGTCTGAAAAAGAAAAAAAAAAGATATTTCTTAATGTCATGATAAAATACAAATCTTGAGCTCAGCAGTACAGAGGTACCTCAGTTCCTGAACTTAATTATGTTCATGATTCTTATCACACAATTCATTCCATGATTCTCATAGCAACCGAATTTCCCTGAGGTACCACTGTTCAAAAAGTATTCAACAAACTAGAAATAAAAGTAGTAAATAAGATAGCTTTGGTTTCTATTCATATGTGGTTTTTCCAATTCTTACTATGAATTTAGATAACATTTTCACTATAGAGAAATTTATACTTTTGGAGATAAAAAGTAGTTTACCTTTTAGGATTGCGTTTTTAGAAACTTTTACACTAAAAAAAAAGAAAAGAAAAGGTAAGTGTTGTATTTCCCCCCCACATCTTTGTATCACCAGAAGGAGCTTGGCAAAAGCTTGCTAAATGTTATCTCCTTAAGTGAGTAGCCCCTTTGTTTTCATGCTTCAAATGCAAACAATATGGTTTCACAACAGGAAGTCATGTTGTTCAAGCTACTGATGGTTACGGGAGAGCTGGTTCTCTTATTTCCTTCATTTGGGCTGAGCTCTGACATCAGACCGAGCAAGGTCAGAGCAAAATGAGACGGCTGAAAAACATTCATGTAGGACGACCCTGGGAAAGATGGCAGAGGTAAACACTTGCTGCTGAGGAGAGCTCTGGTCTCTATAACAGCACAAGCAGAGGAAGTACTGCTGCACTGCATTCTTTGCAGGACTGTCAGTGTGGAGTGGACCTGTGGGCCATGCTAGCTATTTATTTATTTATTTATTTATTTATTTATTTATGTTCATGCTATTTAAAGACTCCAATGTATTATGAAATATTTGTGGGGCTTATTAATTTTTTCTTTCATTTTTGGTACCAGAGATTGAACTCACAATCTTATGCTGCCAGGCAGACACTGTGCTGGTGAGCTATATCCCCAGCCCAATTTTTTTCTTTCTTGATTTTGGTCCAAAACCACTAGATTTACAGATTATTATTTCTCTGCTGTAAAGTGTACTGTAGCTGAGATTTCATGTGTTTTTCTTGAAAAACAAGGGACTAAAGTAGAAATGTTGTATGTAACTTTAAGATGTACATTTAAAGTGATTTTATTAGAGAACTCAGTCTTATAAACTGAAACACTTGACACAGATGTCTGTTTACCATGAATTTTCCACTATCATCTTCTCTACCATCTCTTCCTATATTCTCATATTTTTTCTTCTCTTAACTATGGATCAAAAAGACTTGGGGAGAAAAAAGACATACCAATTTTCCCTGAACCTCTTTTTTTTTTTTTTTTTAATTTTAGGGAAGGGTGTACAAGGTATTCAGGGTCTCACTACTAGATCAGACTGGTAGTGATCCGCCTGTTTACAGCCTCCCAAGTGCTGGGATTACAGGCACGTGCCACCATGCCCAGTCTCAGTTGACATCTCAGCGTGCTGCGGGGGCGGGCCTGGCACAGCAGGCCCCCAGGATTGAATACCCGGCCCCTGTGCCTACTTGCAGGCATTTTAATTCATTGTGTTTGCTTATTTTATATATTTGATCTCACCATAGAAGAAAATATTGTTTGATATAATAAAAAAAATTTTAGTGGAAGAATTCTGATTTACTAATACACGCAGAATTATTTTCTAGGCATCTGTATCCAAATTTGGTACAAAAGATGAATGAAAATATTAAATGATGCCTTGAAACATGTAAAAAATGTGACAGTAAGGAGAATGTTTCTGTCTTGACATAAATTCATTGCCGATACATGAAATATGTCTAACATCTTGAATTTTAACATGTATATGAAATAAAAGTTTTTATTTGCTTGAGATGATGTCAGTTATTTTCTGCTTAATTATTACATTGTTGTTCCTATAGCTCAAAGCATTCAGTAAACCAGGGTTCCAAGGTGAATGCATAGATTATACAAAAGAAATTTGTGATCTGACTTCACTCATACCATGTTCTTTTAAAGTTCTTCGGGGTTGGTAAGTATGCTTGTTCAGTATTTTCTTTGTTAACTAATAATTAAATTTCTTTTATATCTATAAACATTTAGCTTTTTTAATATACTGTACTGTAAATTTTTAAACTTTTCTTTTTTAGACATTGCTAACTACTAACTAGCCTAGTTTTGCTGAATTAGTATTTTGAGTCATAGAATACAAGAAAGAAATTGCTGGCAAACCAACTTAGAGAAGATTCTCTTATTGTTAGAGTATTTTCTAAATATTTTTGAATGTTTACATTATGTGTTTCATATACAGCACTGTAGAATACTACCTCAAATTTCATTTTTACTTTTTAATATATTAAACATATGTTAAACATCGAACTCATAGTGATCAGCCTGTTTACAACCTCCCAAACTCTGGGATTACAGGCATGCGCCACTACACCCAATCTCATTCCCTGTCTCAGTGTGCCCCTGGGGGCGCCGCCTGCATGGCAGTTTTAACTTTAAACTCCATAGTCTTAACTGAATTGGTGTGGTTTTTTTTTTTTTTTTTTTTTTTTTTTTTTGTGGAACCGGGGATTGAACTCAGGCCCTTGTGCTTGCCAAGGAAGTGCTTATTCTACTGAGCCATCTCCCCGGTCCCTGCATTGATATTTTGACTTTTACATGTATAAAAAACTGTGTGTGATTGTAAGGGGTAAAATGTATTCTTTTTTTATTATTTAGTAAAATATACAACAATACCAATTTATCACCAACCATTTATAAGTACACAGTTTAGTGGTGTCTCCATGTATCGAATATCTAACTTATACTCTATCAAAGTCTGTGCCTTTCAAAATATTTTGGATAAGTCAGTTTTCCTCCCTTCTTTCTAGAAGCAGTAGAGAGTAAGAACTGCTGTCTTTCACCAATGGAACTGCAGTCTCCCAGTTATTTCCTGCTCCTGTCCACTTATTTCTAGTATTTACTACAAACCAGCCATGACTCAGTTATTTTGTCCCTAAATTCAGTTGAATATTTTTACTAATCCACTTTTCATTCCCCTAGTCATTCTGAAGTACCAGAAGAGTCAAGTTCAGCTCCTATTTTTCTAGGCTTTATTGTCAAGTAGTCTCCTTTTTTCTGTTCATTCTCCATTGTGTCATTTTACTGTCCCTCCAGTACTTCCTTCCATCCATCATTTGCTTAGTCATTTCTTTTTCTCATTAATTCCTGTATCAGAAGTTAGCAAACTTTTTTCTGTAAAGTGCAGATAGTTTCTAGTCTGGGCTGAATAGGCTGTCTTCCACTGCTTTTAACACTGCTGTTGAAGCAAGGAAGCAGCCACAGACAGTATATAAATGCATAGGCAAGGCTCTGTTCCAGTGACATTTAACTTGCATCGAGAACTTGGAATTATACATAATATTTATGTGTCATGGAGTAATGTTACTTCAATTTTTAAAACAATTTAAAAATTTGTAAGCCAGATTCATCTTGTAGACTATATGAAAATAGACATTGGAGCTATAGTTGGCTAATCCCTGATCTATTTCAAAGAATGTAGTTCTGTGGTAAATCTAATCAGCGGATGTTAATTGGTCAAGCTGCACATTTGTTAGGATTTTTTTTTCCATATCAAGATTTAGGTTTTGGGTATAATACTTCAGAAGATAGGTTTCCACTGAAAAAGATTTGAACTTTGGCAATAATTGCTGGTATTGAGTGGGTGGCAAGGATGTTTCCCAGTGTATCATAACCACTATCCCATTTTTTTTCTCACTATTACAGTACTCATTTGCATTAACTGCCTGGCCACCTGTAGGTATATACATTTGTGTCCCCTGCTTAATGCTTAATCCCAATATATCCTTTGAATTTTAGTCCAAACCACTCCTTCTAGTAACTTTGATTCAGCCTAATTTAAGCAGTTTTTTCCTTCTTTCATACAGCTCTTTACTTTGAACTTTTTTGTATTTGTTACTGTCTTTATACTTCCAAAGAGGATAGGAATTTCACAGCATTAAAACATATAAAATACAGCATTATAAATTAAGTAGACGATCTATAGCTCTTTTGGAAAAAATAAAATATGTACTGATGACCCAAAGTAATTTCACTTGTAAGGTATATTTTCATTTTCTGATAAAAAGAAGCATTGGAGTTTTTTGGGAAGAAAATCTTATTATCTAAGGAATGTACAAATATAGTTTTAATTTTTTTTTTTTTTTTCAGAACCGGGGATTGAACTCAGACACTTGGGCTTGCCAGGCAAGCACTTATTCTACTGAGTCATCTCCCTGGCCCCTCAACTATAGTTTTAAAGAATTTAAGAATTACAGAAGTTGTATAAGTATGTGGAGAATTTTTTAGAAGAGAATACAAAATAGTAATAAAGAAAAAAATTAGAAATCATACAGAATTTCACTATTTTTTTTTTAGAATTTCACTATTAAAATAATAGGAATTTGACAGTGTTTGTTGTATTTCATAGTGTTGTCTTCAAATTAGTTGTTCAGATTACCAACTATATGGATGCAAAATTGGGAAAAAAGAAAAAAAGTAGTTATAAGAAATTAAGAAGACCAAAAGAAAAAGACAAATAAATAAATAAAGCATTAATTATTCCCTTCCATAGATCAGCAGAAATCCACAGTACCATTATCTAAACGGTCCTGCTTACAGACAGAGATACAGCTGTTTCCTCAAGTCCCTCCCCTATCCTCTCATCTCAGTAATTCCTTCCTTTTGAACAGTTCATTCCCTTTTTCAGTATCTATTGTACCCTTCAGATTTTATTTAGAATTTCAGGTTCTTACACTAAGGAGACAATAGGATGTTTGCATATGCAGATATATTTCATTTGAGAGTATAGAGACTTGTATCTGAGCTAATTTCTACTACTTCCCAGCTATGTAATCTTAAACTGGTTGGGTCACCCTTCTGGACCTCAGTTTCCTCGTCTCTAAAGGAAGGATAATGATGAGTACCTACCTCAAAGGATTTTTAAAGACTATATAAGACAAAATAAAATGGTGTACATGAAATAATAGCCTCATGCCTAGCACATTGGAAACCTTTAATAAATATTGGCTAAAAATGCTTATTATATAGAAAATATGACAGTAAATTATGTCAGAGAGCATTTGGGGGGAGGGGTAATCCAAAGTGAACATGGCCTATGTATACAGTCCTGGTGATCTTAAAATATAGAGCTGGAACTTACACCAAATCTAAATTAGTAGTAGCTAATGAATTTTTCCCTTGGGGTGCCTTATAAAAGAATGTCTTAACTGAGCTTCTAGTAAGTGTTGTAATGAAGATTATTCACCATCAAGGTTTCTAAAGGTTTTTTTTTTTTTTTTAATTTCTGTTAGCGAGCTCATGTGTAGATTTTTTATACTCTTACATGATTTTAGAAGTCTAGCTTCTATGTCTATCCTGGCGGAATCATTAAAAGATCATTAGATAAATGTGTTTTAATTTTTCTCAAACGAATTCATTTTTTTAAATACTGAATCACCCACATGGATTGATTCCATGATGTTGCACTGGAAGGCACTAAATGGAAGCATGTCTTTAGCATAAAGCAGATGTCTTATTTCATATCTCAGCCTCAACGTTTCATAGGTGGGATAATCTTGAACAAATCACCAATGCTTTCTAATCCTTAGTTTTGTTGCCTGTAAAAGTGAGGATGTATTTTAATTTTTATTTATTTATTTATTTGGTAGAGTCTCATTACACAGTTCAGACTTGTAGTGATCCTCCTGTGTCAGCCTCCCCAGGGCTGGTATTACAGGCAAGTGCTACTATGTGTGATTTCAGGGCTGGCAAAGTGTACCCGAATTTCTGTGGCTGGCACAGCCTGTGGTACCAGGGATAGAACTTGGGTCCTTGCTTGCCAGGGAGGCGTTTAGACCGTTGAGCTATCTCACCAGCCCAAGGATGTTTTATAATTTTTGATGTTAATCAGAAACTGCTAGTTGACTGTAATTTGATTGTAATTCTGCTTGTTTTACAGCTGGCTCCTCTGTTACCAAGAGGACATCTTCTGTAATCAGTGTGTGTTAGAAGAAGGCCTTTATGCTGATCTTACTTCCTGTGGCTGCCCAACGTCTAGAGTTTTATCCCTTAAGCCTATTGACTATGTAAGTACTGTGTGGTACTTATGAGACTCTCTTCTTCTTTTTCTTTGTTTTTTGGCTGGCTCAGTCTGTCTTAAGAGCGGGTCTGGTAAGTCATGGGGATCCTGGGGATTGAACCTCGGTCCCCTGTGCCTGCCTGGGTTTGCCCCAGCAGGTACTTAAACAACTGAGCTAACCTGCAAGCCCCCGAGACTCTCTTATTTTTTCAGCTTAAATGTATAAGTATGGAGAGTGCTTGAAAAACTTGGATGTAAGCCTACTTCCCAGCCATGCAGCCTTAGTCAAACTGGGTCATCTTTGTGAACTTCAGCATCATCATTTGTTCAGAAATAATAATAATAATATCTTCCTCAAAGGATTCTTATAAGAACAAATTAAAGTAACACATGGGAAGGGCTCAGCTCCTTGAATAATGGTGTCAGAATTGGAAGAAACATTATAAGGAGAAGTAGTTTATTTATGGATCATAAAGTCTGCTTCTGAAATCCAAGCAAAATGCAATTTGTATTTCCTTATAATCTCCTCCTCTTACCTCTTTTCCTCTTCCTATCCTTTACCTCCTATTCTCTTTCTTTTGTTCTTTTTTATTTAAGTAAGAGTACAGGGGCCAGAGAGATAGCTCAGAGGCATAAACACCTACCTGGCAAGCACAAGGATCCAAGTTCGATCCTCAGCCCCACATTCTGTGTGGTCTCGGCCCCAGATCTCCAAGTGCACCATCTCAGCCTGGATGCTGATGCCCACCCTGTGGCCCCAGAACTGGGTGTGGAGGTGTACCTCTATAATCCCAGTACTCGGGAGCTTGAGACAGGAAGATTTCTGTGAGTTTGAGACCAGCCTGGGGCTACAAAAGTGAGCACAAGGCCAGCCCAAACTGCATAGCGATACCCTGTCTGAAAAATAAATAAATGAACAAGAGTACAAAACTCAAAAATTAGAATAACAAAAGTCTGTGCTTAAATACAAGTTTGAAGGGGCCAGGGAGATGGCTCAGTAGAATAAGCGCTTCCCTGGCAAGCGCAAGGGCCTGAGTTCAATCCCCAGTTCTGGGGGAAAAAAAAAGAGAAAGAAAAAAGAAATAACAATACTGTATAAGATGACTGGAAATGAGAAGGTGATTTTTAAAATATCTGGTATGTGGTGAGCACTCAGTGTTGACTTTTTCTCTCAATTTTTATTTTTTATTAGGACATGTTTATGAGACATAATGATCACATGCCTTATGCATTTTTTGGCACATATACATCACAGTTCCCAACATATCTGGCTAAGTCAACTGCAGGCAACCCCCTTGCAATCTGCAGTTTTAACTATCAAAAGCAAAATCAGTAGATTAACATATTTACATAAAGTTCCCTGGACAGAAACATTTCTAAGAATCTAGACACACTGGTTGTACCATAGGCAGTTGTATTAAATCTATAAAGAAAAACCTTATTAATCTTGAAGTGAAAACACAGTGGATTGAGAGAGGATGTGGTAGGAATTGGAGGAACAGAAGAGGTAGTGGAGATAGCAATGTCAAGAGAGGAGACCAAGAAGCTGGAGAATATAAGCAATAAGGACCTTAGGAGTGGGAAAAACCCCTTTTATGGGAAATGTTAACCCAGATAAATTAATCCCAAAACTGAGCTTTGGATGACAAATTCAGTTGCTTATTTGTTACAGTTTATCTAAACATTTCCCCCAGAGTCTCTGTTAAGAGATGGAGCTTTCTGAAGATCACTGGATCATGGGTATACCCTGATCAGTGAATTAATCCACTCATGAGTTCATAGCTGAATGAGCTGTTGCACTGGTTGGAGGAGTTGGGTCTTTGGTGGGGGCATGTCTTTGGAGTGTAGACTCTTGCTTAGTCCTTCCTCTCTCTGCTTCCTGGCTGCCAAGGGTTGGGCTTTCTTCTACCAGATCCTTCTGCTACGCCATTTCTGCTATGGTGCCAGAAGTCCATGGACTAAATCATTTGAAACTGAAACAAACTTCTCTCCTTTAAATTGCTGTTGTCAGATATTTTGATCCCACATAATATACCGTGTTCTTCCAGAGAGGAACAATATCCAGGATAGACTTTCTAAGCATTAGAATCTACTTATTACAGTTTGCCTTCTGGTTTACCTATCAGTCTCCCTAAATCTGGTCAGTTCTTCAGGGACTTGAGAGGGAAGCAGAATTTAATTCATCGGGGTAATGCTACCTGTTGAGGCCCTTTTTTGTTTCTTTGAAGTCAACCTTTGCTGGGATACTCAAGGTTACTTCATACTCCTTGTACTTCAACATGAAACATGCCTCACTATGTCTTCAACAGAGACCTTTCAAAACCAATGTGGGGTCTTAACATAAACTGAATATATTGTTTATCTAGGTCTTGGAGTGAAAAATTTAGAGGTTTCAAATCTCAGCAGATGGCTTCATGCACACTTGCTAGCTTCCACAGGATTACAGTTAGGGCCATGCAATTGAACACAACAACTTACATAAAAACATTTCTTTCTATCCATTTTTTTAAGATGTATTTTTAATAAAAAGGTCTACGGGGTCTCACTACACAGATCGAACTCGTAGTGATCCTCCTGTTTTCAGCCTCACAAGCACTGGTATTGCAGGCACGTGTCATCATGCCCAGTCTCAGTCCTGTCTCAGTGCATCCCAAGGGCAGGGTTGGCACGGCATGCTGGGGATAGAATCCCAGTCTCTGCACCTGCGTAAACAGGCATTTAGTTTGCTGATCTGTCTGGCTGGCCCTTACCCATACATTCTTTTTTTTTTTTCCATAATTTTATTGATAAACAAATAGCAATGAGACAGTTTCAAATCAAATTGGTAGGACAGTTTCAATAATTAACACATTGCATACATTCTTCCTAGTGGTTAATTGCTGTACAAGATGTGGACATGATATCCTATTTACAAACACCATTAGAACAAATCACTCTATTCATTAAGAGAATGTAACTATATATCAATCCTAACCACTTTGAATACACAGATACAAAATGGACATTCATCTATATACCCTTTTTTTGTTAAGTTCCATTATTTGAATATTATAGGTATGTAAACTCAGCAAAATATTCTAAAAGAGTTCAGTAGCTCATAGTAGACCCATACATTCTTATTCCCAAGTTTGACCATTCATTGTATACTTCATGAACATAAAAGAATTGTAACTCTTCAAAGAAAAATAGTTATTCTCATTATTTCTGATAATTTCTAAAATGCCTTCCCTAGAAATTTCACCAAAGGTCCTGTAAAATTCTTTCACGATGATAACTTCATATTTAGACTATACCTTTTGCTTTTAGAGCTAATACCAAGCAAGTAATTCTTGATTTGAACATAAAACTTTGCTTTGAAAATTCCTTTCCCAATAAATGTGCATTGCTTTACAGTGCTTTTTCAGTATTACCAAAGTTTGTAGAAAATTACCAAATCACATTCTTTTTTGTAAAGAAAACCAGACCAATTGGATATATCAGGAGGCCTTTACTTTTACTCAAGCTGGTGTGTAGGGCTATTGAGACAGGACTCTCTTTTATTCTAGATCCTCAGACAGGACTCTATTCTTAGTACGACACCAAGAATGCTTTATTGAATAGGATGACATTGCTTAGGCTGAGATTAAAGAACCTAACTCAAGTCATTATCCCTGAAATCATCTATGGCAAAAAAAGTCTTGAGTCCCTGCCATTATTATAGAGGACTTCTAATCACCTCTGTTTCAGTATCAAGTTTTAACCAGATAGATCATTAGAAAATCATCATAACTGGCTATCTTGAAAATGTCCCAGATCCTTACTTCCTCTGCACAGATCCTTTAGACTGGAGCCCAACACTCATAAGCCCAGAATAGTGATACTGTTTTTCTCACTTTAAAAGTCTGAACACATTAGAAAGGAGCCTCTCCATACTCTGTAATGTAGGTTACCAAAGTGACCCAGATAATAAATAAATATTTATTTATTTATTTATTTATTTATTTTTGGTGGAACCGGGGATTGAACTCAGGCCCTTGCGCTTGCCAGGGAAGCACTTATTCTACTAAGCCATCTCCCCGGCCCTGACCCAGATAATTCTGTACATTGTCCCTGCCTTAATACTGGAAGCCTAAACACTAAACTATGACTTTTCTAATAAAATTAAAAAAGTAGTCATATCATTTTTCTATTTATGCAGTTATAACAATAACCATGTTATTAATAGCCAACACTGGCAAAATGGTAGTGATCAGCAGCAATATTCAACATCTCAGAGACCCAAAATCTAGACACCTGGAAAAATGACAACTTGGTAGTGAGGAGAAAAAGTAGAACTCTAGAAACTGGGAAAGAACTGATAGGAAAATTAGAGGCTATAAAGAACTTGGAGAAATAGATCAAGAAAAGGAAGTATGTTGGAAGCTTGCTGGGGGGGGCTCAAGCTGGAAATCAGTCACACATGTAGGGCTAAGGCAAGGCCTGCCAGAGAACACGGGAAGCTCCTGGAGCCATGTAAATAAGCTTTTCCAAGTTGCAAGCTAGTTGCTAGGCAGAGAAATTGAAATTGACATCAGTTATGTGTAAACAAATGCTCTACAGTTCTTGGGCAGTTGCTCTTTTCCCATCAGGGAAGAGACTATCCACCTGACCTCAGTTCTCATCTCATCTTAGTACTGGAAGCTTACCCCCTTGTTTTCCCCTTGCAGCCACTGAGAGCCATGCCAGTTTGCAGCAGAAGCTTACCCTGGCTCCAAGAGTTGACTGTTTTGTACGACAAAGAGTAAGCTCAAGGAGAGAGAAACAACAGTCCCAGTCAGCAGCATTCTGGCCCAAAGAAATGCCCACAGCTACTATGAACTGCACAAATGGCATGGGCGTTTACCCTAAAGGGATTCCTTCCACACAAAGGCATAGTTAATAAAAGAATGTAATGTAGTACCCACTATTGTGGGTTGTTTAATTAAGCACTACCCTTGAAAAGGATTTTTCCCCCCTTAGGCTGAGACTCAGAACAACCAAAAGCCAAAT